TCAAAGTTTAATTGTAAATACAAGACATGGAGTGGAGGGAAGGTGGGGTTTAGACAGCTGCTCAGATGAAAGGTAGAGTTAAGAAAATGTTTTTTTCTTAAGTATGTGAAAGTGTCCAGCTACAAATGAAAGGAAGAAACACATGCAGAGGAAGGCTTGAAAACATGAGAAGACATATTGTAAATAGAGAAGGCCTCAGAGGCTATCAAGAAAATAGAACATAGTGTGGGTAGAGAATTAGCCTTACTGGAGAGAAGTGGGACCACTTCTGAAACCAGGAGGGAAGGAATTTAGTGGTGTGAGAGAAGAAAGTTTAAACTGCACTAGATCATTTGATCAAGCCTTTATTTTTTCATTGACCTAAAAGGAAGAATAAAAGCAAAACTGAGGACTTTTGAGATAACACGTGAAGGTTTAGAACAGAAACTGAAAGATCAGATAAGATGGAATATTTGCAAGACAGCAAAAGGATGTCAGCAATTAAGGTAGCATTGGATGTCCATTTGCAATGATTAGGAGTTTCAGGTTGAGAGAAAACTGGAAACATTAAAATACTGAAAGAATGGCGCTCTAGGAACAGGAAATTGAAGATCAGGTTTAATGGAAATGAAAGAATAGGAAAGGAAGCTATGGTGTTGAAGGGAAATAATTCAGTTTTGAAAGACAATTCCCAATCCTTTTTTAAAAATTGAAAGAAAAAAAAGTAACTCTAGTGGGATTTTTGAAAGTTTTTCTCATAAATCTTCAGACTATTCTGTCCTATGTGGTAGTTTTATTTCCTAGTGATACACTATTATTTCTTGTAGGCAAGAAAAAAAGCCATTGCTTACTTATGGCACCCAGATTGCCTACTGTACAAAGAGTAGATAGGTGGCCAGGATTTCGTTTCCACCCAGTTAGTGTTCAGTTAGAAACAGAACTATAGAACATGACTGCTGAGAAAAATGCCAGTGCTTACATAAGGCACTTAGCCATGACAGAAACAAAAAACTACTGCATGAGCACATTCACCCAGGGAGAAGGTGGCCAGCCCACCCATCCATCATCCTGCTAGTGTGTGGAGGATCACTAAGGACAGAGAACATAGCATGTTTCCGTTTGCCATGAGAACAAGTAATTAGGGTCGATAACATTCTTGGAAAAATTACTTGGGATAATGTGAGTGTTTCGTACTTTATTCAAGGTGGAAGTTGGAACTCCACTGGCACTAATCCTCCTTGGCTTCCTTGTGAACAAGTTTAAAAAGAACAACATACCCTTTCAGTGATTTATACCCCCTCGATGTTTTATGCTAGAAACATGTTAAATTTGGATTTAGCCTTATACTTTCAAGACCAAATGTTTTTGGAATCTTTGTTACCCTAAGTAGTATAGTGCTAAGACAAGAGATATATATGCTCACATCCTGCAGGCAAATGTTAACCATTGTTGCTATTACTTTTCTTCCAGAAAATAATGGTAAGAATTAAAGGCTGGTGATGTGGCTCAAGTGGTAAGAGTGCCAGCCTAGCAAGCACAAGGCCCTGAGTTCAAACCAAAAAAAAAGAATTGAAATCCAGAAGAGGAATATGAAATGAATCTTGTACTTAAATTGGTCTAATACATAAAATATATGTATTGTTCCCCTCAGAAATGGCACAGACACTCCAAGATCTTAACTTTTCTTGCACTGAGCAAGTTTTTAAGCTATTCTCTTTTTCTTTTTGTTATGAGGAATGATCCTTAAGCTTTTGAATTTGGATTCTTCCCTAGCTTCTTTTATATCCTTAGACTACTCTCCCTTTAGAATATAAGGCAACACTCAAAGACTTTCTTACAGTGACACAGTTAAAGTAGAAGTGAAATGTTCTTTGTGGGGAGGGGGCTGTACTGGGGTTTGAACTCAAGGCCTCACAAGTGCTAGGCAGGCGCTCAACCACTTGAGGCTCTCCATCACACCAGCCCTTCTTTTGGTTTCTTAGAAAAGGAACTAGATTAGAAAAGGTATATTCAGAATGGTTCTGCTCAGAGTTATAATTCTGATCACTTTTACAGTTAATACCAAAGCCTATATTAATTATAATAAGGTATGCCCTGTTCTTGAAGAATATTAGATGGAATCTTTTGATGGAAAAGCAGTTTGGTGGTAACATGTCAGATGTCTTAAAATACAAGGACCTTCTGAATTATTTCCACAGCTGCTTCATTGTTATCTTTATGGTTCAGATCAATCTGGTTTTGATAGAATAGTATGGATTCTTTTTCAAGTATAAAATGATCTATTATTAAGCTAGAAGCAACGGAAGATATTTTGTCTTTTAGTTTTGACTAGAGTAGTGGTTCTCACTATTCTAGAATCGGCATTCTTTGGGAACTTGTTAGAAATGGAAATCTTATGGCCCACTCTAAACTTGAATCAGAATTTATAGGCCTGAACTCAAGCATGTGAGTTATTTAATAAAGACTAATGATTTCAGTGCACATTAACATTTTAGAACTACTACACAAAAACTCAGTGGAATTCAGACAGGTTCTATAAAAGCTTTCTGCACAGTTCTTCTCTTGGCCATGTAGATGCTTATGCCACCATCTATGTTGAATTGGATTCTGGATTCCTGTCTTAACACTACTAACGTCAACCTCCCCCATGAATTCCAATATCCATAAAATCACCATCCTTTTCTGCAGCATTTTCACCTATCTCAGAGATTGATTACCTTTAAACAAGGAATTGGGCACAAAAATTTTCATTACCACAAAATCCATGAGTCCAGAGATAAGAGGTCATATTCTCTTATTTTCAAGTAGAATATGTTCTCAACACCAAGGAATTCCTTTTTTCTTTTTATTTTTTTTTTTGTAACTTTCAAATGTTAACAACTATATTGCATTTTTCTCTTTTTTTTTTTTTTAAACACATGGAAAAATTAAAAATACATGGCTGTTGTTATCCATACTCTAATTTTCTAATGGCAGTCACTGTCCAAGACTTACCTATCTTTTCTCCTAAATTGTTAATTGTCTGTCTCCTGTTGTGTTGAGAATCCCCAAGATCACATCCAAGTTCAGTGGATTTGCCAGGAGGACTCACAAGACTCAACAAATAGTTGTTTTCACAGATAAGATTGAAACAGGAAAGCAAACACAGCAAGATCAGCAAAGGGAACAGAAGCATGGAGCAAAAGTCCAGGGAAAACTAGGCACAAGCTTCTAAGGATATTCTCACAGTGAAGTCACACAGGATGTGCTAAATTCCCCTCGCAATAACTCATGACAAAATCTCTGAAATGTCTACCAAAGAAGCTCAGCCCCTAGATTTTCATTAGAGGCTGCTCATATAGGCAGTCTCTGCTTGACACACAAAATGCAAAACCCACAGAAGGAAAGCATAGACCACATTGTTTACACAAACATTTGAAATAGTCTTCCCAATTTAAGGAATGGTATGAGCCCTCCTAAAATCCAGGTGCCATTTACCAGCTAAGGGCCATCTTTGAAGTAGGGCCTTGAAAGGATAATAATTTTATCAGCTGTGTCTGTGTTTGGCACACCTGTCCTGAATAAATCAGTGTTTTGTTTGTTACATTCCTTTTATCTACTGGTCTTGATATATGTCTGTGTCATGATGTCCTTCTTAGAATGTGAAACTCTGTAAGGGCAGATAGCATCTGTTCTGTAAACTCTGTCAGATATAAAGATGACTGCCATTTAAAGTGTGGGCCTTCAGTAAATCTTTCACTTTTGCTCCAACTGTCTGCCCATACTGCCTACTACATCGTGACCTGTTTAAATGCCAGCCTTTCTTTGATGCCGTGTGCAACTCACCTGTACCATGAAGCTTAAACTGATTAGACAGCTGACTTGGAACTCTTCCTCATTCTTAATTCTAATACCCCTCAGAGTCCATGCTACTCAATCGAGTACTAGACTTTATACTCCCTTGCATTTTCTCCTCATTTTTACTTAAACTTTACATTCATATACTTGTCATTTCCTGTCAGAATATAAATTCCTTAACAGAGTTCAATCCTTTTTTAAAACAGCTGGAATTTTTTAACAAAAGTGTTTGATTGATTAATGATGTAAATTACAGAGAGAAAAATCAAATAAAATGATTTTTCATATTTTAAATATTTAGAGATGAACCAAACAAACAAGCTTCCTCTTTAAAAAAAAAAAAAGCAATATTCACATACATTTAATTAGACAAGATTTAATCGTGGATAGGGTACTTCAGTTTTACAGAAACCTGTGGTTTCAACAATGGAGTGACAGAAACCAAATAAATTTCAGTGATGCCTTAATTGTTAGCTAAGCCTCAGTTGTCTAAGCTATGTTATGCAGGGTTAAGGAAGTCATATTAAACTAGTTATTTTTTATTATATACTATATTTTGCCAAAAATTTTTTTCCCCAACCTGCAATTCTGGGATGCCACCATTATTACAGACATAGTAATAACTATGATTAATCATACCCCACTATTAGCAAACCAGATTGAAAATATTCTGATAACCATATTTTGCTTTGACAATAGGGCTTATTTCCCACCGACAAAGACATTTCTATTGTAATTAGTGTTTTTCTGTTATTTTTGTTTTATCATTGAGATGCTAGCGATTTTGTGTGTGTGTGTGTGTGTGTGTGTGGTACTGCGGTTTGAACTTAGGGCCTCTGCCTAGGCTGGCTTCCAACCATGATCCTCCTGATCTCTGCTGCCTGAGTAGCTAGGATTACAGATGTGAGCCACCAGTGCCAGGCTGAGATACTAGAGATCTGTCACTTAAAGTTGATACCATTCAGCCAGAGATTTAGAACTAAAAGACTAGGAATTGGAAATGCTAATAGGATTCTGTCACTATATTCTTGGTCAGCTCATTCATCTGCTCTCATTTCCTCTTTCAAGCCTTGGCTAACAGCTTATACCATAGAACACTAAACTTACAGGCCCCAGCATCTATACGAAGGACTGTTCCTGCCACTTAAGATGAATAAATGCTCTTTTGTTGCCAATCTTTGCAGGTGTAAAGAAATGAATAAACGGAGACCACGAAGTTTACTAGAGAAACTGCGCTGGGTGACCCTAGGCTACCATTATAACTGGGACAGTAAGGTATTCAGATTCTTTTAATTCATTTGTTTCCCATCTAAGCCTGAATGGTTAGATTTCTTCTTGGGCCTGAATAGTTAAGATTTCTTCCTCGGCAAGCTTTAAGTATCACGCTCACAGAAGATGCTGTCTAAAGCATAAATTTTCCATTTGTGGGAGGAGATCTTTGATTAATTTCCTCCTTTAAAGTCTGTCGTAGGAGCCAGGCCTAGCAGTACATCCCTATAATCCTAGGACTTGGGAGGCTGAGGCAGAAAGATCTTCAGTTTAAGGCCAGCTTCGGCTACATAGTGAAATGCTGCTTTAAAAATTTTAATTAATGAAAATTTCTTCACATATCTCAAGAATGAGTAATTAGGAAAAAAATTTGTGTTCATGTATCCTCAGGTTATAGTATTATATCAGAAGTGTTCAGTGTTTTCTCAAAGTGGGCTTCAGGGATGTAGATTGGTTTTTTTTAATGCTTTTAAGAGATAATAATATTATTTTTTTCATTACTATTTAGAGTTTGTTTAGCACTTATTTTCTGTATAACATCTGCCTAGAGTAAAAGAATCTCCATATACTTACAGTATTCTCTTCAATCAACTCAAAAGAACTTTCAAGATCTAGATGCTTTTTCCTACCAGGAGATGCCAGATAAATGTGTGGTCAGGAGAAAGATAGGAAAGAATTCCCTACAGTTAAGAAAATTCCATATATCCTTGAACTACATACAACTTCTTCTCTCCTGCGTAGATACTTCAGAAAATGCATCCCTTGTCACTAGCAGCACAGTGCCTTCTGTCTTAATGAGATGTTTGCCAGCAAGTAGGACTGATTCTAAGAGCAAATAAACAGAAGAGAGCATAGTGGTATAGACACCCCTTCTCAAAACACCATTGAGTTTAGTCAACCCACTTACTAAATATATTAACTGCCCCCAAAAAATAGCTCTGTTTAAATAACAGGTGTTGATTTAAAAATACTCATGATATAACTCTTATTTTCAGTGATACAATTCAACGGGAAGCTAAGTATTTATATTCGGGGAAATGGCTGTATGATTTTCTTTGGGTTAGTCTGTATCTGAACCTGTTTCCAGTAATGACAGTGCATGCTTCAGAAGGTGGATGTGAGAGTTAAATCATTAAGGCCTGCAGAGTACTTAGCAGCCCCTGAGTTAGGCACAATAGCACAAAAACATTAGCTATTGTTAACGTTTTTTGTTGCTTTTTTTTTGGTGGGACTGCAACTCAGGGCTTTGTGCTTTCAAAGCTGACAGTCTACTGTTTGAGCCACACCTCCAGCCCATTTTTAATGATATTTTTATTTGATATTACTGTTCCCAAGAATCTGAGCTTTACCCTTGCTTATTAAAAACAATGAGAAGTGAAAATTATCAAAAACTCTGAATGAGTAATCAGAAAACAATGAAAATGTGTGGGGGGAGTGTGGCAAAATGTAGTATACAGTTTAAGAGAGAATAGTGTATAGACAGTTTAGATACAGTGAAAGCCCAGAAAAGTATTATTTCATCATAGCAGAGACTGTACAGGATAGCAGCCCTGACTGGTCGATCTTTTAAAGGAGTAAAGCTTAAAATAATAGAGGAACCTTAATGTTCTCTAACTACACCTTTTGTTTTAAGCATTAAATAGGAACTTTTTTTTTTTTTTTTTAAACAGCACTGGGGGTTTTGAACTCAGGCTCAAGGGCCTCCCACTTGCTAGGCAGGTACTCTTACTGCTTAAGCCACTCCATCAGCCCTAGGAACTCTTACCTGCAGTTGTCTTAAATGAGAAAAAATTAGAAACAGAAGTTTCCACTGAAGAGGGTAGGATATCCATCAAAGGCCTCACAAAATTCTTCCATGCCCCCGAAGTTAAAGCTCACTTATAGCCAAAGTAAATCCTGTCTGTGCAGAGCTAGGACTCTTGCTCCAGCTAGAATATATCAGGACACTAGTGCAGCTGTGAGACAAAAATGGATTTTCTGATCAGATTTGAGGTTTACTTAGCAAAGGAAGAGGCGAGAGAGTGCACTGGATTGCTGCAGGCAATGGCAGCCCAACCTGCCCTCAGGGACCTCTGCTGAGGAAACCGTACATGAAAGTCTTAATCACAGGTGCAGCCTTATTAGGAATTTCATGCAAAGAGATTTTCTTTAGACTGAGTGTTATGACTCATTTTTGAGGTTATTGGGGGGTTTTCTGGGGGGAGTGGGTTGTAAAATGTATTTGTGATCCTTAGGCACAAAAACATAGAAGCAGTTTAGAGAGGTAAGTGCTGAAACCTACTTCCATTTTTAAGATCCTACCTTGGCCATAAGTCAGACTTAATTCAGATGTTGGGAGCATGTTATCTCAGCAGGTTGACCAGTGAGATTGGCACTAAGCCATGTCACAAGCTACCCATGGTATTTAATTTCTTTAAGTACCTCTTGACAGTGACAGTTTTGAGCTACTTTTTTACCCAAAGAGAACTATCCTGCTTAGGATTAAAGTGTAATAGAGAGTGACTCAGTAATTGCTTTGCGTGTAGGCCATACACTGTAGATTTGTGTAATTTATCACTGCAAAACACAGGGCCTGCCATATAGTAGGTACTCAGTATTCTGAGTGGTTTATTATTAGGCTACTGGATGCCTTGAGAATGGGTGGATAGACAAAGCTATTATTATTAGTTTGTAGATTAAAGGATTTTAAAGTGACAATCTTGTACCTCAGTTTCCTGTGTCCCTGAGATCCTTGTTTATTTTCTTATTTTCCCTACTTTTACCAAAGAAATACTCAGCAGATCATTATACACCTTTCCCTTCTGACCTGGCTTTCCTCTCAGAGCAAGTAGCCGCTGCCTGTGGGTTTCAGGGTTTCCGAGCCGAAGCAGGGATACTGAATTACTACCGCTTAGACTCCACACTGGGAATCCACGTAGACAAATCTGAGCTAGATCATTCCAAACCCCTGCTGTCATTCAGGTAAGTTAGTTCCAGGGATTTGGATTATTTTTTACCATTTATTTTTTTTTTCTAAAGCATTTTTTGTTTGTTTATTTTTGGCAGTACTGGGTTTGAACTCTGCCTTAAGCTTGCTAGGCAGGCACTGTTACCACTTGAGCCATTCTTCCAGCCCTTCTGGGCATCTTAATAATGTATCATAAAGTAAAATTAGCCTATTCTTTTAAGAGCAGTGAACAAGTTCAGTTATTATTTCTGTTTAAGACATACAGTATGTCTTTCATGATGAAAGGTATTATCAATGCCCTTGGAATAGATAAGTAGAAGGCCATAAGCAAAGTGAGTGACCTTTTTGGAATAGTAGAGCAATATATAGAACAAAACACAAAGGCTTGAGTAGTTACTCTCCTTCTGTCCCTAAATGTAAGTTTAAATTTGTGCAAAGTACTATTCCAGTACCTTAGGCAAAGAAAATGCCTTTCATAATCGTCTTGTCTTTAAAGTGAAGGAATGATACACATGTAACGGACTCAATTTTATTGAAATACTGAACTCTTAAAAGGTGAATCGGTAATATATGGATAATGTTAAACTCAGTTCTTCATTTGGTTATTTACTGCATGAAATTTTATTTTGCTGCCGGATGCTAGTGGCTCATGCCTATAATCCTAGTTACTTGGGAGGCAGAAATCAGGAGGATCGTAGTTCAGAGCCAGTCCAGGCAAATAGTTGGAAAGACCCTATCTCAAATACCAGCACATAAAAAGAGCTGGCAGAGTGGCTCAGCTGCCTGCCTAGCAAGCATAAGGCCTTGAGTTCAAACCACAGTACCACCAAAAAAAAGTATATTAATTTTATTTTGTAGTAGGTCTGGGCTGCAGAAGTATGGATAGCAGCTGGCATGAGGGCACCTACCTATTAATCCCAACTACTCGAGAGGCTAAGGCAGGATTGCAGATTTGAGGCCAGCCAGGGAAACTTACTGAGGCCCTGTCTCACATAAGTAAAAAAGGGTTTGCCTGGGGTGTAGCTCAGTGGTGGAATACTTCCCTAGCATGCCTAGGCCCTGGGCTCAGTCCCCAGCACTGAAAAAATATAGATGTGTAAGCAGCAGATAATTCGTTGAGTTGTCAGTCAGAGACGCAAGCAAGAAAAAGGTTTTAGCACAGTTTAAGTATGAGGTCTTAAATAAATAAATATGGGGACTTGGGAATAAGTAAAGAGCTGAAATTACAAAATAGTGCAGTTGGCAGTCATTTTCACAAATATCTCTAATAACAGAAACTTCCTGTTTTTGCTTTTTTTTGCAGCTTTGGACAATCTGCCATCTTTCTCCTGGGTGGCCTCAGAAGAGATGAGGCCCCCACAGCCATGTTTATGCACAGTGGTGACATCATGGTCATGTCAGGTTTCAGCCGCCTATTGAACCATGCAGTCCCTCGAGTCCTTCCAAATCCCAGAGGGGAAGGCCTGCCTCACTGCCTGGAGACACCTCTCCCAGCTGTCCTCCTGAGAGATTCAGTGGTGGAGCCTTGTTCTATAGAGGACTGGCAGGTGTGTGCCAGCTACTTGAAAACTGCTCGTGTTAACATGACTGTCCGACAGGTACTTGCCACAGACCAGGAGTTCCCTTTGGAACCTGTAGAAGAGAAAAAACGAGACATCGCCACAGGAAGTTTCTGCCATCTGAATGACCAGAATAGCCAAGTAAAAAGGGCCAGGTTAAACACTGACAGCTGAGATTTGGAGGTCCCATTCTTTACTCAGGCAGGTCTTATATGGCCATTGACTCTAGCACCAAGACAAACCAAAAGCAGAGACTGGGAAGACTCATCACTGATCACGCTGTTGCCTTGGAATCCATCCAGAGTAAACTGATTGCAGTTTGTTCAGAGAAATGTTTGACTTGGTCCAATTCTAGTTTTCTATTGGCAGTGCTGTGTGTTGTTCGTACCCAGGAGGTGTGATCATCCTCACAGCCTTTTAGCCTCTGCCATTACCTCTGAGGGAGGTAAGTGAGTTTACATGTCTGTGGAATCTAAATACCTCAGATTCTGTTAATGGCAAATATTATACATCTGCCCCCACTGTATGTGGTGATCTGTGATAAAATTGTGGTTCTGTGAACCAGACATTAGACTCATCTTAACTCAATCCAGTCACCAACATACTCTTTTTTCTCCTCTTCCTTCATCTCTGGCTCTCACAGATGAATCTTATGCACATAAACTGGAAATCTTGTCCCCTAGAAAAGAAAATAATCACAGCCTAAAAGATAAATTTATGTAAACTGACAGGAAAGAGGAATAGTAGTTTCCCCACATGTCTTGGGTCTCCAAACCCTCCCTGTTGGCCTTTTAATTGTTGGACTAAAAAAGTTCTGAGGGTATTCTGTTACTGTTTTCTCCATGAATAAACTTACTCAGTTTTAAATTAAAGGTCTGTATCTGTCTTTGAGGGTTAGTATATCTGGGATTAGTTTTTTCCTCTTTATTCCTTAATAGTCCAGTCACTGCTCTCTTGTCTGATGGTAGACAGCCTGGAAATGCATGAAGCACCAAGGTTTGATTTGGGGGAAGTTTAGGAAGCATTTTTCTTTATGTTTTTTGTTTTGTTTTGTTTTGAGACAGGGCCTTATTGTGTGGCCCAGGCTGGGCTTGAACTCATGTTTCTGCCTTAGCCTTCCTAGTGCTGGGATTGCAGTCATGCACCAGCAGACCCAGCTACCAAGTTTGAATCTTGGTATCCCCACCAACTCAACTCATTATACCCTGTACCATGTTATTTCACATTTCTCTGGACCTCAGTTTCTTCATTCATAAAATGAAGAAAATATTAATTGCCCTCTTCCCAGGGGATGTTTGGTATTTAAAAGCGTTTCCTTCAAGAAACATGATGTGGGGGGAGAAATGACCCAAGCCTTGTATGCACATATGAATAATAAAAGAAAAAAAATAAATAAAAAATAAAACATGATGTGCCGGTATTGTTTTATTACTATATGGGCTGCAGAAACATCCTAACTTGTAGCCACTTTGCTGCCTGCTGCTTGCAACATTTCTTGCTGAATTTTAATCTCTCTTCTGTCTTGCCTTTTTTTTTTTTTTAATTACCAACATTGAGTGTTGAGTTCATGTGGTAATAGCAGGTACAGTTTTTCTCTTTCTTTTTTTGGTATTTTTTAAGGAATAAAAATTAATGTAGATTCATTACTTACATATAAGCTAGGTTCTAAAATTTGGCATGATAGGAAAATTGTATATAATTTAATTTACCACTGGGAAAATTCCTTAAATTATCCATAATGTACATAAAATATGACCTACCTGAAACCAACATACTGTCATTTAACATACCTAGCAGACAGTTTATCCTTAGCAATAGAACAGATTATTCCTTTCTTTAGTTGAGTGTCAGATAAAGGCATTGACTTCTGTTTAGGAGCCATGTTGTGAACTAAAAAAACTCCAAACACTAGATTCACTCAATGGAGTAAGGTGTTTGTGCTATGAGAAGCAAGTGGAAACGGAAGCCAGTCATATGAGAGCAGATTCTGTCTCTCATCCCATGCTCCCTGTAGGGAACCTGCTCATGAGTAGGCATAGTATCTCTGTTGCTCTCTCTTCTCTCTCCCCTCCCCTCCCTTCCTCTCCGTTCTTTCCTCTCCCCCTCGTCCCTCTCTATTTTAATGAAGCACAAGCATGCAGTTGAAGGTATATAATGTAACTCTACTTTGTCTTTAACAGTAAGCAAAAAATATGTAATTGAAGAAAAAATAAAATGGTAGTTTTCTACATTTACATGAGGGTGATCCCCCTAGGTTTGTAAATCAGAGGTCAGCAAACTATGACCCACCTCCTGTTTTTGTACTGGTCATGGGCTAAAGGTAATTTTTACATTTCTAAGTGGCTGGGAAGAAAAGCAAAATATTTTGTGACACTTAAAAATTATATGAAATCCGTTTCAGTGTCCACAATTAAAATTTTACTAGAGGGAGGGGGCAGAGCTCACACCTGTAATCCCAGCTACTTGGGAGGCTGAGATCAGGAGGGTTGCAGTTCGAGGGTTGCCCTGGCCGAAAGTTAGTGAGACTCCATCTCAGTAAACCAAACATCATGACATACAACTGTAATCACAGGAGTCATAGGTAGGATCATGGTCTGAGGCCCACCCTAAGGAAATACACAAGACCCTATCAGAAAAAATAAGTACAGCACAAAGGGACTGGGAGGTATTGGTAGAGCACCTACCTAGCAAGTGCAAGAACCTGAGTTCAATCCCCAGTACCAAAAAAAATGATTGGGACCCAGCCACTTTAATTGATGTACATATTAGGTTCTTTTGTGCAGGAGACCATATGGTCTACAGAACCTAAGAGGTAATGATCTAGCCTTTGACAAAGTCTGGGCTTTAGGAAAGAACCTCTACCCCAAAAAAAGGACCAAGGGGAAATTTTTTTTATTAAAACCTTTTTCTTTATTATTTTAGGTTATTTTAGGGGATGTAAAATGTGTATGGTGTCAGAGTAGAATTATAAACATTAGGCCTCAGGAAACTCATTCTCTAATACTCCGTTGATAAGAATGTAAGCTGTATCCTCTCAGGCACAGTTTGGCATCATGGAATATGTAGCTTTACATCACAGCCAAGGCTGTCCCTGATTTTGTTCCCTTTTCCTCTCAGAAGGACTTTGATAAATTACGTAGCCATCCTAATTGTTTTCAGATGTGTACCCTTTGACCCAATAAATACCACTTCTAGGAACTGAGTCTACAAGAACAATCAGAACTGTCCAGGAAGATTTTTGTGTCAGAACGTTTATCATAGTGAAAACTGAAGTAGGCTCTGTGTCCAGCTAGCAGGAAGGGGTTGGTCAGATTGGTGTAGTTTCTCAACAAGTGATTCTACAGCACTTTCCTTGACCGCACAGGTCACTGCGTTTATGAAGTGTGTTTCCTGCTGGTCATGCCGTAACTGTACATGGACACTAGTCAGTCACCTCTTAGGAATTTGGGAAAATATTAATACTAAACCTAAGTGAGGAAGTCCAGTTATAAACTGTGGGTTACAATCTAGTTTTATACGAATGTTTACATAGCTTTTTGAAGCTGAAAGTGTATATACCAAAATGAATTGACAGTAGGATTTCAGTTAATGCTTATTTTATTTGTGCTTTTCTGTATTTCTGTTACCTTACATTGAAAATCTTGTAAAATTTTTTAAAGAAAGAATAAATACTTGATTTTTTTTTCTAAATATTAACTCTTTGACTGTCAATTCTACCCCTAACTGAAGTTTAGAATACAAATCTAGGAACAACATCATTGTCTAACAAAAGGGGCTTAATTAATGAAATTTTGTTGTACTATTAGCCTACAAATTATGTTTTAGAGGCATAGTTAATAATTGGGAAAAATGCTTAGATACTGAGAAAAACAGCTTTAAAATAATATGGACAGCATTTACAAATGTGCTTTAAATGTGTATGCACATAGAAAAGACTAATCTCAGATTCTCCACATTTTCTGTAGCCAGCTTAAATTGCTCTTTTGAAGGCATCTGCAGGATGTTTTGAAAGGGCAGCAGGTAAGTCACTTGCTGAGCTCAGCAGCAGTGGTTTTATGAAGTCTTGATTTCTAGATGTCTCCCTGACCAGTCCTGATGCCATCTTAGTCTCCAATCTTCCTCTTGGTTTAAAATTTGTCTCGCTAGGATGAATCCACTCAGTGCTCTCTGCTTATTTCTATAGAGCCTCTTCCTTAGTTCCCATTTCCACCCCATGTCCAGTTTTCCCTACAAAGATCCCAGGGCCTCAGTGAAACATCAACATATTGCTAAACATTAGAGACTCAGCAAGATTTGTCTTTCCAGTGTTTCAATTTTCTCTGTCCCTTTTTCATGAAGATAAGCTGATTTTATCCCCTTTTCCTTAATCTGAAGGCTATTTTTTAAAGTAGGGAAGGCGGGGGGGGGGGGGGGAAGGCAGTAATACTCAAGGAGGATTCAGCGAAGGCAAATTAGAATGGTAATGAGGCAGAGAGGGTCCTGGGAGTGACTACTGATCTCACCTGCCTAAGAGACTGAGGAGCTAGGCAGGAAGGAAACACATCTCACCTCATCTGCTTTCTTCCATTTCATAGGTTGCAGTGGGGGAAAAAAAAGCAATAGAAATCCATTTTCTTAGCCTGGGTAGTAAGTTTGTGTTAATTTTCCTTTTGGTCAGCTACCTACCTAGATTTGAGCCCTCACGGAAATGGGTTTGCTGGTTCTCAGTTTTACTGGTAAGACAGATTTTTTTTTTTTTGGATATTTTTTATATAGTATCACAAACTGTTTGCTGGAGATAGCCTCAAATCACAATCCTGCTTATCTTTCCCTCCTGAGTATCTAGGATTACAACCATGAGCCACCCAGCTGGTAAAACAGATTACTTATTAAGAAGATATAGTAGAAGAAACATGAAATAGTAACAATCCTAACACTTAGCTATGTGACCTTGAATAAATCACTCAACTGAGCCTCAATTAACATTTTTTTTTTCAGTACTGGGATTTCAACTCAGGTCCTACACCTTGAGCCACTCCACCAGCCCTTTTTTATGATGGATGTTTTTCAAAATACAGTCTTGAGAACTATTTGCCCAGACTGGCTTTGAACCTGGATCCTCCTGCTTTCTGCCTCCTAAGTAGCTAGGATTGAAGACATGAGCCATTGGTGCCCGGTGCTCAGTTAACCTTTTCAAGCTCCAGTTTTCTCATCTCTAGGAGGTTTGGTCAAGTAATTTGTGTGTTACATACCAGCTCTGTAATGCTCTACTTCTGAAGTAAGAAATTGAGTTTAAGTAAACAGCAAGTGAAATCATCCCGATAGGCAAAATTTTTGGTAAGGATATTAAGCGTTAAGAAAAGTAAAGGAGAACAACACAAAAATGGAACTTCTCAGAAGAAAACAATACAAATAGATAGTAAACGTAAAAAAAAAGGGTTATTAACCTCACTGGTAGAAAAATGCAAATTAAAACAAGATGAAAGTTTGTGCTCCATTATTTGGCAAAAGTAACAAAATTATAATCTCTTGACTCTTTCACCCATCCTACTTCATATCCCACAAGCAATGTTCACTCTGCCTTTAAAAGTGTCCAGAATCTGTTCGCTTCGATTCACCTCATAGTTACCACCCTTGCCCAAGCCACTGTCATCTCCCAACTGGATTCCTGTGATAGTATCCTAATTGGCTCCTCCCATGCTTGTCCCTGCCAGTCCCCATAGTTTACTCTGAACGTAGTGGTCAGAGGGAGCACTGTTAACATCTAAGGCAGGTTATGTCATTCAAAACCAGTGTTAATCCTCAACACGAGTACAAGACACCATCCCATCAGACACCTTCAATCCCTACCTCATGTGGTCCCCAGTTTCTCTTGGTCTTCTCACCCACCTGTTCCAACCTTTGGCCTCCTTGCTCTGCCTCTGGTTACACCACATCCCTCCTGCTGGCACTGGACTGTTTCCTTGGCCTGGAATACTCTTCAGAGATTTTTTTCTCACTGAAGTCTGCTCAAATAGCACCTCGATAAGCCTGCCTTAACTTGGCCATGTCCTGTTTTCTTCACAGAGTTTATGACATACATTCTAGATAGGTTACTAAGTACTTGTAAAGAAAACATAAAAATTATTGTTTCCCTCTACTAGACTATGTGCCCTAGTATCTAGAACAGTGCCTGGCACATTGTTGCTCGACATTCATTGAATGAATGAATACCCAGTGTTGGCACTGATGTGTGAAAATGTGCACTGACATACTTCTGTAGGAATGCAGATTGGTAAAGCTGTTTGGAAGCTGATGATCAGCAATTCTACTTCTAGATTCCTTCCCTATAGAAAAATGTATACATGGACACAATATGTATAAAGAGACGTTCTTCACATGT